AAATTGATGAACTACTATATAACAATGCCTGCTCGCTGAATTGACTGAATGTCTGTCGCTGCAGCCGAGTGTTTGGTTTGAATTTATAGCCGCAGTCACCGGTCAAGGTTGTGGAGGCCCGCATTGCTACTTGGCAAATCCCCAGCATGGCGCATGCGAATAATTTTTGTGATACCTTGACAGTAATAATATTATATTAGAGAATTATCAAATCTATTAAACCAACGTGAACAGAAGATTCTGATCTGTGACTGTAGACACATTCATATACAAAAAATGTGATTTCGTTTGCTGAAAGACGGTCGAAAATCTTAAGAGAGGTCTATGATAACATAACAATATTGTTTGAGGCAGTTATTTTTCAAGGACACTAAGCCAAGTAAAAAACTAGATTACGAACTCGTTCCTCTACATGATTTTGGCATGATGATTATAATTATTGAATGTTTGCTAATTTCGTCTATGTTTTGACGTCAATGAAAGCGCAAACAGTAAAACGAAAGAAAATTTAAAAAATTACCGTTTTGTTTTCGTCGTCTGGGAAGATGAAATAGTTGATGTGCCAAAGATAGCACTGTAGGCTTACATGACATGATTGCTTAAATAAAAATTGATTCGACCTTCTTGAGCAATATTCTTTGTATTTAATATGCTAGATTCGTTACTGGCATATTTAAATAATATATTGGTAAAGTGCTTTTATGTGATAACATAGGGTATGATAATATCGACTATCTCGCAATGGATTAGACTGAAATGTATTTCCCTTGAGAAGTCAAGATCAGTCATTGTTAAACAATTTATCGTAAAAAAATATAAATCCTAATGTCCATTTATTAAGTTCTATTTTTGCATATTCGTGTTATTTACGCCGTCTCAGTCAAAGGTTCACGGTCGTTGCGTATTTAATGCCCTTTTACCCTCTACCGTACCTTCATCAAGCAAAAATATCTCACCTTTTACATTAAAAATACTTATTTCTAACCATAGGCCTTAACCGGAGTTTGTTAGCTTTACATATGAAATAATAATGACGATTTGTTTTGTTGTTTGCACCAAGAATGTTTATTCTAAGCAGGAAAATTATTTAAGGACTTCAAGCTCCATTATCGGTAGAGACGTAATGTTGTTTTGGATTACTTTAGCCGGTGTGGTACACGATGTTTGCTTGTTCCAGTTAACAAAATTAACGATCGCCGTCTTGGCACGATTACGTCATCTAAATCCGAAGTTCGGGTTAACACTTAATATTTGTAATTTGACAAATGCCTAAGAAATGTACAAAATAGTTTTTTTTAAATAACATATTTAGAACCAGACTTCTACTCTGTGTTAAATAAAATCATTATTGATGTCACCTAATTCTGAAGTTTGCCCATATGTTTATTTAAATCATATTGGCTGCGGATAGGGACTCAAATGGTTCAATAACGTAATGAATGATACAGAAATTGCTTCTTGGATTGTGTATTTCTTATTATTCATTCTGTACGGCGGAGTTTCGCCCAGACTGTGTGAGTCAGCGCAGCATTTGTAGCACGATATCCACCGGAAATTATGACGATCTTAGGCCAAGTAGAATAAAGTGTGTCATTTACCAATATTCATATTTATCATTGAATTAAAATATAATGTTACTTTTTTTCATTGAGCTTGCCAGAACAGATCGATCTTATGTGTATCTTATTTTAAATTGTAAGTGAACCCGAGCGATTCTTTGCAGTTATTTTTCGTACCACTTTATCCTGTCATTGTACTACTTAATAAACTTAATGAAATTTCTTAAGATGCTCATCTGGCAAGTTTTGCTTGTAGTTACAGTGTCGACTCTAGTACACTAAAACTTTCATAAAATCTGAAGTAGTTACTCAACTTTATTGTTCAAGTTCCTACCCTCTCCTCATTAATGCTTAAGATGTCGCTTTTGTCATCGCTGTCAGTGTCTCCTGACACTAAAGACGGAACAGCCTTTATTCCACAGCTATGTTCCACAACGCTCTGCTTTGATGATTTTTTCTTTTCTTTGTTTACTGCAAATGAATCCCTTGCTTTCACTATACTACACACTAGTGGATACTAGTATTGTGTTTTTATAATGAACACTTTTTATTTATATTCCAAAGTGATATGACCTAGTTTTCGTCCTAACGTACAATATGGTAAAAGCCACAGGGACAAACCCCATTTTTTCCATTAGACTAATTACGTTGTAACTTATAAAATAAATTGGTATTCTTTACGGTAAATATAAAAACTGCTTGCTATAGATGAATGAAAGAGAAACGGATACTACCTTTCGAGAGAAGAATAATGTTTGTTTTACACAAATCTGTTAAAAGCTAAAATTATTACTTCGAAAGTTCTCACGAAAACCACAAGGGGACTAAACGAACCTGTTTTTGAGACGTTCTTCTTGGGCGTTGACATACATTTTGTGGCTTACTCCGACTTTAACAATTGGAAGAGGAAACGAAAAATTGTTGTCAAATAATATCTACTACTATATCATATTCTTATTAATTAATTTTAATGTGATTTTAAACAACCAGCAAAAATTTAATATTATACTCAATTATTATATTAAGATTAAATTTAATCTTTACGTTTTTATGTATATTTTACTCTTTTTGATCAGTGGAGGCAAAGACAAAGAAATATTGAGATGTATAAAGGAGGAGTGATATTAACGCAAAGTAAGTAACGCAAATAAACTCCGATAAAGAAAGAGAGATAAATAGAAGGAATTGTAGAAAGAAAATTAGGAGTTTCTAACAGTTGGGGCATTATATAAATACGTTATTATATGAACACAGATCTATATGAGTAAAACCATGGCAGCATGTGTAGAGTAATATTGTCGATTTTGTAATATCTATTTGTTTTACTTGCAAGTCGTACAAGTGTGGCGTTATTGAGCTTGAATCGTGCAGTATGTTACCTTAGTGCTCCTTCCTGTAAATTATGGATTCCTAATAAACGCTCTATATGCATTTCCGGTTTATTAATCAGGGCGTGTTTTTATTGACCGCATCGTATCGATTCCCTGAAATCGTTATCTTTAGTAAGGATCTAGATATCATTGCTTTTACATTGATATGATGTCGTTCTATTTTTGTTTTATAGATTCAATCAAATCGTTTCTTTGTCATACTGATATGTCTACTGCAATGTTGAATTAAAAGCATTTTTGCTGAAAATGTTTATGATCCCTTTTAGGTGCAGTGACGTCATAACGTTAAATTGACTTTGGTAATACTCGTGTCACAATAGTCAAGTCAAAGTCAAAATAATCTTTATTCAAATAGACTTCTTAAAAGTACTTTTGAATCGTCCAACATTTTTTTCCCTTCGTTCAGGACGTCTTTTGGCTGATAAGAAGAACGAGCAAGAAACTCACCAGCTCTAATAAGAGTAATGACATTTACAAAAACCATGTCATTACCAGATCAATACATTATAAACAGAGATAGAGAAAAAAAATATGGTCTTATAATGATAACATAATCAATTAATAATAATGGAAACAAGATAATGAGTTTAGAATCACCTATCCAGTTGCTGGATCATCTCAACTCCAAGCGTTCTTATCTGTTATATAATCGGATACCTTATAATAAGCTTTTTAATAAGTATTTTTTTAATAGTAGATTTAAACTGCATGATATCTAATTGTTGTATTTTGCTTGGGACCTTGTTGTAGAAGCGCACACAAAGACCCTTGAATGAGTTATTAACTTTTTGCAGTCTAGTGACATGCACCGTCAATTTATTTTTATTTCTTGTATCAAAATTGTGTACATCACTTTTTATAGAAAACAAACTAATATGAATTCTGATCTCGGTTGCATAATAACCAATCACGTTCTTGTACTTGGTTGTTTACATGTAAGTGAATCTCACCACAACCACCCTTCACGGAATGGTTGATGTCAACGAACCTATCAACTGGTTTACCTGGACATATCTCGTTTGTCTGAAATTATCTTTATTTTGTCCATTAGTGTAATCGTTTAGAACCTCTCCATTTACTGGATACTATGGTGATTTATTTTTAAAAGGCTTCAAACGGATGGTGATTTTATGTTATGTTCCTTTTTTTATTATATTCGCCTTTTATTTGTTGAACTTAATATATTTCTTTCTGTTTAAAAAAAAAATCGCATGCGTGATCGGTTTTCGTGAGTTTGAGATGAGGTGAAAATATGGTTATAATGCCGTCGTCTGTTTGTATAGACAGCAAACTTCCATGATATATTTTTTGTTGGTGCACCAATGTTGATGAACTTTTTCTTATCGACTCCTGTAGCAAGGCGGTTAGACAATTTTGTTAGACAAATTATAAAAAAATGTTTTTATAATGAATTTGGTAGATCTAGAAAGTAATTCGGTTTTGTTTACGGCTTTACTTATAATTTTTCATTTTTTTAAAGCAGCTAAATAATACATAAAAATGGTATAAAATAAATTGCTATTATTATTATAAAACCTTCTTTAAAATTTGTTCTAGTTCGAGTATGCTAAATTACAGATCGTAATTTAGCATACGCGAGCTACTTTCTGATATTAGCGCATATTAATAGTCAATACTGCTGATCATGCTCTTGATAATGATATAAATACTAAGCTCTAGTACAGTCGACAGCACTTCAGGTTATACAAAATACTTTTCACTTTATTTGAAACCTCTGTAATCTGACGTGCTGATGCGTGTCTAAAATCCCACGTCCCCTTTAATGAAACAATAACTTTTTGTACTTTGACGACACGGCTTTAATAATAATCTAAACGAAGAAAGTGGGTGCACTAAAATATTTTCATGGGGGCAATCACTTTAGCCATAAACCGTGTCAAAGGAAAATATTATTCCTCCCCTCATAGACTCATTCCCCTCGTACATTTAAGCTATTACTATCGGGTTTCATATTTGGTCAAAAGTTGATATTTGTAAGGTCGCATAATCTGTTGAGCCTTGTTATTAACTGAAAGTTTCTTTGTTACAGATTTATCGAAGAACAGATTCAGTGAAGTGCCTGATGAGGTCACTGCGTACGTGTATTTGGAGAAACTGTTGCTGTCGCAGAATGTTATCAGAAGCGTTCCCGGTACTGTGGGAGGCTTACAGTCTCTTACTTATTTAGATCTCACGTAAGTCTTTTTTTTTCATCCTATTTGGATAATGATGTTCCTATCAATGCCTCATTGGTATAATATTAAATATAAATGGGTGTTATACGAGTTGTTCAAAAAGTAGTGAGAGAATGGAGCGTACTTGGAAAAAAAGTTATGGTCACGGAAAGATTAGGTCTTTGTCATAATACCCTCAAATAATTAGGTTTCTATCTCGTCTGTTTCAATTGTATTAATTATTTGTTTGTGACACGTCGTTAACTCTCGCAAAAAATGGATAAAATTGAAATCCGTGCAGTAATAAAATACTTTTGCTTGAAAAATTTTACTACAGTACAAATTTTTAAAAAATTATTTGGGACATTGGGGGAATCTGCTCCTCCATATTCCACAGTGGCTCGGTGGTGTGCAGAGTTTAAATGTGGTAGAACATCGGTTAAAGATGACCCGCGCTCGGGCCGCCCTTCAACGTCAGTCACTCAGGAAATGGTCGAGAAAGTTGAAAAAATTGTTCTGGATGATCGCCGTGTAACTGTCCTTTTTATAGCTGAAGAGTTGAAGATTTCAAGTGGTAGTGTGCATAGCGTTTTGCAAGATCACTTAGGAATGAAAAAGGTATCCGCGCGTTGGGTCCCGAAAATGCTAACGGACGCACAAAAGCAAACGCGACTCAACATTTCAAAGAGCTCATTGGAACTGTTTCAACGAGATTCTGATCTTTTTTTTGGCTCGATTCGTAACAATGGATGAAACATGGCTTCATCATTATGATCCAGAAACGAAAAAACAATCAATGTCCTGGAAAAGACCGACACCAAATCTCCCAGACCAAAGAAATACAAAAGTCAACCATTCGCCGGCAAGATCATGGGTTCAGTTTTTTGGGACAGCCAGGGGTTGATAATGATTGAATACCTTGAACATGGAGCCACTATCACAGGAAAGGTCTATGCAGAACAAATAAAAAAATTACGTCAGGAAATCCTTAAAAACCGACGAGGAAAAGTCACGAAATAGTTTTGTTCCATCAAGACAACGCGCCGGCCCACAAGTCTGCAGTTGCCATGGCAGCAATCCAAGATGCTAGGCTTTGAGATCCTCGATCATCCGCCATATTCATCGGACTTAGCCCCTAGTGATTTCTACTTATTTCCGCATTTGAAAGAACACTTGAGAGGCACAAAATTTGAAGATGGCGAAGAAGTGAAGGACATCCGTAAACGATTTTTTAAGTACTCAAGATGAAGTTTTTTTTTAAAAAGGCAATTTTGGCTCTAGAAAAACTATTTGCTAAACGTATTGACCTAAAGGGTGATTACGTCGAAAAAAAAAAACAATTTCCAACATAGCAATTCTCACTACTTTTTGAACACCCCTCGTATGTTTTATATATTTTTATTGCAATATATCATCGGGAACAACTTGCAAAGCAGATCTCTCTCGTTTATAGGATTTACTAGCTTTTGCCCGCGACTTCGTCCAGTGGTTTGGGCTGTGCGTTGATAGATCACTATGTCAGTCAGTCACCTTTGAGTTATAAATATTTAGATTGTTTTCCCGTGGGAATGCGCCATTTTCCCGCGGTAAAAAGTAGCCAATGTCCTTTCTTGGGTATTAAAATATCTCCATACCAAATTTCATGCAAATTGGTTCAGTGGTTTAGGCGTGATTAAGTAACAGACAGGCAGAGTTACTTTCGCATTTATAATATTAAGTATGGATGTATTATGGTAGATAATAGATATTCGAATATTCAAAAATGTTTGAATAAAGCAACATTTTCTTTGACTTGGAGCACAATCCACTCATGAGGACTCACACCAAATTCGTAAGAATCAAACACCAGTTATATTTACCTCGCGCCACAATCGGTAGGTTGTAGTTTCAATACATTGCTCAGTATGAAGGCTAATATACCCCAAAAGCGATCCACGCGGGCTATATGTAACCGCCGCTTTAGCGACTCCAAACGAAATGGACGAGATAAAAATAAATTCTTGCTACTCACTATGGAAACCCCTTTGCGTAAGATTCTTAAATATCACGGGGTCCCAATACGACCAATTTACTTTCAATATACAAATATTAAAGATGCCGTCTTCGGCACCAATACACATATTTTTATAATGTTTAAAAATAAAAACAATAAATTCTTAAATACAAGAACAATTTTTATTTTTTATTTTAATGACTTCATAAAACCATCTTTAAAAATTTTGCAAACAGCCCCGAGCAACACAGTTATAATTTCATTTACTTTTAATTAATTGATCATTTTTAATAGTTTTATTTCAATAAAAAATATAAGCTGAGCTTCATCACATTTTTATTTTTATTTGTAATGATATGAACTATATCACATTAACGATCTTAATTGTAATGTATACACAAATAACTTAAAGGAACTTCATTAAAAGTTTTATAAATCAATATTTTTAGTCATTATTGGTAGTACCTAACATTTTTTTTCCTAAACACTTTACAACTAATACATTTTCTGGTCTCTACTACTCGAATATCCGATATTAGCATTCCTCAGCACCTGCATTAAATCCATTTTGACGTTGATCCTCATTTCCTCCGGTATTGATTTAAAGTGAGGCAGCAGCGACAAAAGGAACATTCTGTCAGGATCGTCAGCGTCTTGTTTTGTTTCTACACTTGCGAATACAAATTCATCTGTAGGCGGTTTGTTTTGTTTACGTAACTTTGCTGGCGTTGCTTCTACTTCTTCAATGGAATATCTAGATTCATCGTTGTCGGACACGTAAATGTTTTCCTCTTCCGAACTCTGGTCGTCGTCTTTCCTTAGATTCAATTTCCTCTTTGACTTCCAAACTCTTTTTTGTTTAGTGGTCTCGTCTGAATCACTGGAGGCGTCATTTGCTGGCGAATGGTTCTTGAGCAGAAACTGTAAATGTCTGGTGTAGATGTACGGTCTTTTTGTTCGCTTCGGATTCTGTACATATTTTTGAAAACAATCCCGGATACTTTTCCATTTCTTTTGTAGTTGTATCTCTGAAAATGAAAAAGAACAGGTTTATTATATGAGATTAAACTAGATTTCCGCCAGCGGCTTTGCCCGTGTGGTCTTGTATTATAAATAAAAACCTTCCTTCCGAATCACTCTATCTATGAATAAAAACCGCATCAAAATCCGTTGCATGGTTTTAAATAATAATAATAATAATAATATAATCTTACAATACAGAGTACACAAAAGGCAATATATTTAAGCATAGGGATACAGGGACAGAGAAAGCGACTTTGTTTTATACTATGTAGTGATTAAGGGTAATGTGTTTTTTATTAATGTCTAAAAATGTGTTTGCTATACACTATAGCCATATTTTTTAATTTCGTCTTTATAAGTGTGACTTTTATGAAAGGTGAAGTAAAAAAAAAATAGGAGGTTGCAGTTTAAGACACTATTGTCTAAATAATTAACAAAAAAGTATTACCATCAATTTATTAATAGCCTAGTTTTTAATAAATAGAAAACAGGGGTAAATGTAAACTGCCGCAGTAAATATTAAAGAGATTTAAAGTTTTAGTGAATAAAATGAATATAATGACAAAACTCCAATATAAGCTTGTATAGTCGTATGAAGAGATAAAAAAGTAAATTGTGTACCAGTTTAAAAATAGGTTACAGTAAGTCTACATATTGCTGTCTTTCTAAATAGGTAATACTCTTATCTCTCGGATGGATGGGACGTTACATTTTTGTGTGTCAATAAATTCAAATAGATATATTAATCTGTCATCTTACCAAGTTCACGCATCTCGCTCTTCGTCACCTTGACGTCGGTATTCAATAGTTCCTTCACGACTTCGGTCCACAGTTGATGTCTCGCGTTTTTCGCGCGGTATTCCGCATCCTCGAAATCCCAAATGCCGGGCCGTTTCTTCACTTCTTCTATTAGCCTCTCTGGGTCATATTCAAACTGCATGATGAGTTATTGTTAGATCTAAACCTATTATACGCACTACAATGTGTACTTCTGAACGGGCGGGCGCTCGGCGACTGGCGCGCGGCAGGGGAACGCTGCGGTTTCGCTTCAAAATGGCCGCTATTCACACTAAGGTGCCTCCAGTTTTGAGTCTGGAGATCAGGACAAAATTATTAAAATATAATTTAATAAATCAAACGCTAGATGAAGTAAATATAGCGACTTTTATCAATTAACACATTTTAGAGTTGACGTATGTCAAATGTCAATATTACGTAATTTTTCATCTAATGTCAATCGTCAATATGGCATTAATTTTAGTAAAAAAAGGTTGTATACATAATTTATGGTCTTTTATTTTGATATTTGGTTCATTAAAATTATGTCAAAGATTTAAATTATTAGGAACCGCGGTAGACTGTAGGCGAAAAAAAACAGTCAAGTGATGTGTAATCAGTAATCACAAAGGTTCATTACAGAATCAGAAAAATAGTAATATAATATATTAGCACCAGTAAAACAATGACATCATTGTTCCAAATGACAGCACAGATTGACATATAAATTACCACATTTATAATAAGCAGTTCGATTAAATTTAAAATCATTGATTCGTATCGATAATATCAGAATTGAATCTCGATAAAATCTTTTAAGATCATTTTTCGATTAATCGCTACGCTACATTTAGAAACATGTCCAAGATAATATTATTTATTATAATGTAACGCCAATACTATTAATAATATATTACTAAAATTTAATTTGTTTATGTTATTAATATTACTTTAAAATACATGAAAACTGATTTAAATATTATTGATAAATCAAGTTTTGCTAATATTTAATGTTACAAAATATTTTGAAATACCGGTTGTCAACTCCCCGATTCTCATTCTAATAGTCCAAAGTGTCCAATATCAAAGTTGACGAATATTTATTTACCATATTGTAGTTAAATATCTCACCGGCCTATTTCTAAATCTTAAAGTATTAAAAGTGTTCATTTTTGCAAGTATTGCCTATCTTATCTTATCTTAAACTTATTGAGTATTGAGTATTTAC